TTTCTATACAATACTCTATTATTTAAAATAAATATGACAATTAAAGCACTAAAAGGATAAACATAATTTATCATACAATTTAGTGAGAAAAATAAATTAAATAATTAAATTTACAGAATTCTTCTGCAATTTTAAATCATGAATTGCACTATCATCGGCCAACAATATGTATACAAAATTTGAACTCGATAGCATATCAGGAAGATGGTAAAACATTGAAGGACAAATTCCCACAACAGTAAAACACCATAAGTGAACTAAATAAAAGTTTATATAACCGAGACAAATTAAAACCCAACTTGACCTGTGGATAAAGTTCAGATATTTACCAAGCACAGTTTTAATTCAAATCCAAATACCTGGGCGGTGTTCAAAACCTACTACCAAAACTCTTACCAATATTAGAGATATTTGTTTAACTTTTTAATCTTTGGCGGATGCAGTAGCCACTAATTCTCAGCGGATTAGAGGCGAAAGTTCCAGTAGGCCACAGTGAAGGATAAACGCCTAAATTATCCCGCATGCCTATAAATTTATATAACTTTCTCGTCTGGACGAATATTGGAACAAAGCTATAATAAGATTTTACTCAAAATCTGATCTTTTAGTAAAACTGAGGGGTAATTAGGAAATAAAACAATTTAAATCTCGGGTTGGTATTATTTCTTTAATATGTTAATTGTAAAAACGATAATATATAGGTTTTTCTTAAAAATTCCCTTCTTGAGCTTTATAAATATATCATGTTATAAATATATTATGGCTTATGCTAGCTGAAAAGAGTGTAATTTTAATTAACCTTAACGTGTTCTCACATGTGAGTTGTATAAAGCTACTAAATGAGTAGAAAACTGAAATTTGAGTGAATTTTAGCTGAATTATACAGAATTATGAAGTAACTATGCACAATTATAACTTAATTCAAATTTTGTCAAGATAAGTTAACTTCTGCTCGAGTGTGGAAGAATAATGAGCAATGATTCTATCCGATAGTTCATCCCTCCCCATTCCTCTCACAGTCCACCATCTTACTGGCTACTCAGCAAACAGTGATCTAGATAACGCTGAAAGATTAAATATATTTAGGCAACTTTCGCTCTTGTCACCTCTTCTAACACAGAGGCTCTAATTGAAAGCTTTTCCATTGGATCATGATGTCATGAACGGAATCATCAGTTATTACCTTTAAATTATTTCCTCTATAGAAAATTTCTTATAGAACAGACATGCGTAATGTAATCAAAGTATCATACAATTAAATTTATTATTTGTATTTATTTATACCAGTAATTTCTAAGATTTGTTTGGTAATCTATGAGCAATTAGCCAAGTTTCAGTAAAAACTTTCGAAGAATAATTTTTGATTACTCATTACCGCACTTTCCAGTTTAATGTAGGGATTGGGGATGTTAGTGGAAGTGGTTAAAAAGTTCTGATAAAGGAATAAGCATTTTTATTGTTTAGTTAGAGAGTTCTAGGCTTGTACTTGATCTGGTAACGCTAATTAGTCAAATAACTCTAAAAGACTTGAAGCGAACTATTGCAACGTCTGGAACAACGACAAAGTCATGAGACGGTCAAAAACAATTTTACATTTAGAACGCAAAAGCACTAATTCCTTGTACTACAGTATATTTCACAACTCGTTGATATGCAACTAAGCAGTTCAAGTTAAATATTGAACAGTGGTCAAAGACTACACAATTAATTACTATACTAGAAGCTGGCTCACTACTCCAACGGAGAGAAAGAAATCAAATGTCGGAGGCGAAAAAAGCAAACTCGGATAACTGCACCTCTCAGAAGTGATAGGAAACTAACAAGCATAGTGCGCACGAGTTCCAGAAACACGCTGTCTTAAAATCGAAAACCCTTGTTTTGAATACTAGACATTTATTTCCACTCTGGTGAAGAATATGAAAAGAAAAAGTTTTAGTAAAGATTGAAATTATAAATAACTGGTTAATTAACTTAAAATTCATTTTGCTCCATCAGAATTCAAGTAATCCCATCTAAAGTCTTCAATGACCTTGCTAAGATTTAAAATTCTAAACCTACAACATGAGCCAATTTTTAAAAATCATGAAGTTACATGTCTAATATTAAACTTAAATTTTTACAGAAGTTTCATTTTCGTTGTACAAAACTTCATATCATCTCAATTTAGATCACACTTATCTGCTTCCATATACACACACATCTTTAATGCTTATATATTTCAACTTGCACTTTCAAAAAACTTTTTCAACCTTTTGTTTCATTTAAACTTAGTTTCTCACGCTTTTTCTTCAGCACTGCAACGCACGCAAGTGGGTATGAAAATGTGCAGAGGTTTCAACAATATATCTTTTTAACAAAATCCTACATATTAGACACACTAGATCACAACAGCGCTTTATTTCAAGACTTGTTTTAAGTTTGATTTTTATTAAATCTTACATGTTAGAAAGCCTAATTTCAACAACTTAAATTCACTGAGCTAGCTTTTACATTACTTAAAATCATTATCACTTACTAGCTTGCACTTTAAATTTATCATACACGACATCAGAACACTTAATGTTTACAGAACAGTCAGCATTCAAATATACTTCTTGAAAAAACATTTACAACCGTTCACACACCAGGTTGCCCGAGTTCGGCAAAAATCCAGTCAACACTACCTATGATGTGAGGTCAGTGGTAGGCGTCTTAATGGACCTCATCAAAACATACACCTACATCGCACAGTCGTCGAGTTTCGCTTAATAACTACAGATACATGGAAGGTGGTAAATGACGTGAAACCGATTCTAGTGAAGTTGTTGATGGGGATCTGGCCGCTCTTATGATTGCGGATCCTCGAGCTCATTTGTGTTCCTTGAACGCCCTGACCGTTCACGACGGTAGACTATCCCTTCCGTAACATCGAACAACAACCGTGTCGCCAACATCGAACAACAACCATATCTCTCCGACAGAAGTGGCATCTGATACGCCTGTTCGACCAACCTGCTGCCCTGAGGCCAATTATACGCCCCTTCTTAAAGTCCGACAACTGTTCGCGTTGCCGTCGGTTACGTCCCAGTGACGGTTACGTCTAGTCACAATAGCGTCCATCCAATTCGACAGATTCTTTTGAATATCCCTACGTCATGAACAATCATGCTTTTTAACACCCCCAGCTGTGCATCTCATATGCGTATAGCACGCGTACCCTTGTCTCATTGGCATCGAAATTTAAATCTTTTGCATATCTCTTACCAGACTAATTTGCTGGCGAGTTTCGTGACTGTGGCTGGATTTCTTCTGGTTGTATATATTTTTTATGATAGAGTATATAAACGTAAAGAATAATTTATACAATTTGTGATAAGTTAGCATACGCTATATATATTTTTACCACAGAAACATTGTGTGAAAAAAAAGAAAACTTTGCTTCCATGCATTACTTTATATTCTTATTCATCATGCTTAAAAAAATTAAGCACGGAAGTTTCATACTTTAATTCAACTCTATGGCTTTAAAACCACAGTGGAACAAAGTTTTATGTAGCTAGCTTTGACATCACGATCGGAAACGTTGTTAGGACTTATTCACTTGTCTGACAGTAACATCAGATCAGATCCATGAATTTTATAGTAGCGAGGAGCACATGGTGACATCTACTCTTATCATGTGCCATGGATACCTTATAAATGACAGCAAGGCAGTAGACAGGCAAGGTTGTGCTCTTTTACGGTCAACCATTTATCTGTCTCAGACGCCTGAGAAAGCGACCTCACCACATCACAAACATCGAATTCAGTTCTTTTGCTGATTGGAAACCACATACGCAACGCATTCCAACCGCATTAATGGAAACGGAGCGTTATGAGTAAAGGATGACGACATTACCACTCTGTTTGACCGTACTCTTGGATAAATACTCAGCTCTGTCCTAAGTTTCAAGGAAATTTCCCCGGAGGATGGATCCAAGAATCTCATAATCCTGTCCAGTGCCTCGAAAGGACTTCAGCTCGGCATCCGATTCTAAGCTCCTTCATGTAGCATTATATATTAACAGATATCCAAATTTTCTCCGGGATTCGAAGCAAGGCTATGGCAGCTGTGTTCCCTGCGACCATGCCGTCAGGACGGCCAGTAAAAAACATAATGCTCAGGATCAGAATAAATAGATAATCATTCTTTCAGAAGATGCATTTTATTGACAATAAATACGTCATATTTTGAGATGAGTAGCAATTCTCAGACTTGGCTCTGCAGAACTTTGTTTTAAATAATTAAAATTTTTTGTTTAATTTTTGTATTAATAAGGAACTTCACGTAAATATGCAAATAAATTAAAATACTGTAATTCAACAGTGCATTGTCTGAAACCTTTATAGGTCCTGTCGCATATTAAAAGATTTTATTACAATTGTATCCTACTGAATATTTCTCTAGCTCGTACTGTCACTAAGCTCTTAAACTTCAAACATATATTTCACCTGAAAATTGAGGTTTGTAGGTATTATATTGTAAGATCTTTATTTATTAACTCTTAACTATATCGGCATAAAACTCAATAAATATTTCGTATTTCATTTCAGTCATGATTGAATAGATTGCTTTTATCAAAAATCCATTGAGTGCAACTAAAGCAGTAAAATTTATTGAGAGTACATGTCCTCATATTTCACGTAAGTGCAAGTAGCTTTTAAACTAAAATGCAATAAAATTGTATTAATCATGAGCGGAACCCCGTTTCTTTAAAAAGAGAAAGACAAATCTAGATGCAGTTCTGTTATTCTTTAAGAACCTTGCAAAGAAATGCAAAGAATTTTTTTGGAAAGTCAAAGCTTTTCTGTATTCTGTTTTGTAAAAGTAAAAGGTAAACATATTGTTTTGAATTTTTCTGATGCTGAATTTAATCCTTCTTAACAGCTCTGACAGTAAATTAAAACAATTTATTCAAAGCATACATTTTATTCATAGTATTCTTAGTTTTGAGAAATTCTAATCTTGTTCCATTTTTCAGATTGACAAAATATATGTGAAAGAACAAAGCCAAGAGATTCAGAACCGGTGAGTATTTCTATATATTTATGTGAATCGAGAGAGATTTATTTCAGAAATGATTCAAGTATATTTAAAATAGAAAATACTTTAAGCTCCATTTTGATATTATGCGAACATTAGTCAGGTAGGAATTTTTAATACCTAGGATTTCCTAGTTAATACTAGACATGCCTCGAAATTTAATGAGCTTAGGGGAAACAATTGCTTTTCATTTGTTTATAAAATAATCCAGGCTTACAAATATGGAATAAATTAGATGATGCACATTTAGAATTAATAACATTCCTCCTAAAAAGGGCTAATGTATTTAAATGATTTTTTAAGATGTGGTTTATACGCCGTATAATGTGCCATTTTAAAATATTTTCCATTAATGTAACATTTGTATTCCAGTAACTTATTTAATTTGTACAGACAAACGAAATGCTAAGTGCATTTAGGATTAAGTTCAGAGATGACATAATTGTAGTTTTATAAAAATATAGCTAAATTTATATGTGTTTGTGGGATGGAATATATTATCAGTGACCTAACTAATTAATTTCCTTATTTATGAATTTTTATGTTGATTTCATATTTTCATTTGAATAAAAATATTCATCCTTAAAGCAGCAAGTCCATTTATTCGTCAAAATAACTGAACGAAACCAAAATGCATCGTGCTGCTGTGAATATAGGGTGTTTCAAAAAGTGCTCACGTTTTGAATTGCGCAGGATGGCTTGTTTAAAGATTCACAGTATTGTTCCTGTGAATTTTATTACCTGTTATCATTCTGATTAATTCAGCATTTGTTGTTTCTCAGATTAGATACCGTGAAGCGGCTTTCTAATGTGTACGTTTCAGAATCATGAATTTTTGTGAAAACAACGAGTGCTACTCAAATACTGTTCGTAAATTTCACGAGATCATTGTGCCCTCTCCGGGTATTGCAAATAAATCGTTTCAGTAGAGACTCTTTGCCATATATCTTGCGATCCAATAATCTTGTTTCATGGAAATTTTCCTGGTTGTGTGATCTCATTTCATGGCGATAACCACACGCGAAAGCATTGCGAGTCATCTACTGCACAACTGAATGTGAGTGCTTCTGCAAAGAAAATAAAATTTTCTAATAAGCAGTTGGAAAATAAAACTAATGATGATTTTAAAGCTTTTAGGATCTTGGACTTGAGTGTAATTATTTCCTTTTTCGAAAAGCAATTGTGCTGCAAAACATGGGGCAGTGATGTCACTATCAAAGAAGTTGTGTGTGGACTAAGTTCTAAATTTTCTTTAAATTGTACAAATTGTACAGAACTGCGTGCATTTAAAAGTTCAAAAATGAATGGTAAAAAGAACAACTGTGCTGACATTAACATATGTTATGCTTATGCTCTGTGAACAACTGAAATTGGCTACTCAGCAATGCAACTATTTTGTGGTATCATGGATCTTCCACACCCAGTATCGAAAAAGGCATACAATGCAACAGTAAGGAATTTTATGTCGAGCTCAAGTAATGTGGCATAAAAATCCATGAAAAACGCAGCTTGCGAAGAAGTTCAGCTAACACGTTCTTCAAATGTTGTGGTTAGCGGCGATGGTTCATGGAAAACCAGGGGTCACACATCACAAATAGGTGTGTGTACAGTTATTGGAGACAAAAGTGATAAGGTTCTCGACACAGAGGTTCTTTCATCTTTTTGTAAGGCATGTGATACATGGAATTCCATGAAAGTTACACTAGAGTAACTTTCATGGTACCCAGAGTATGATAGCTGGCAAATGAAACATGAGGCGGAGTGTCTTATGAATCAGAGGGTTATGAGGATAGAATGGAGGTTGTCGGTATGGTTCGAATTTTACAGCGGTCAGAAACGAAGCATGATGTGAAGTATATTGGATACATAGGCGATGGAGATTCCAAGACTTTTCAATTTATAACGGAGGCGCAGCCCTATGGTTCAGATATGTCCGTTTCTAAAATCGAATATATCGGTCATATTCAGAAGAGAATGGGAACGCAGCTCAGAAAATTGAAACTGAAAGGTATTAAATGTGCAGATGGAAAATCTATTGGAGGAAAAGGTCGTTTAACTGATACAAAAATTGACAAATTGACTGACTATGGTAATGCAATTCGAGAACACAAAACTTCTTTGGCGGAAATGCGTAAAGCTATATGGGCAATCGATTTTCACACATGGTCAACTGATGTCGAACCGCTGCATACTTTTTGTCCAATAGGTCCCAATACTTGGTGTAAATACCAGAAAGCTGTAGCTAATGGAACTGTTAGTGAATTCAGACATAAACCAACACTTCCTTTTTGTGTTATGGATGCTATTAAGCCAATATTTAATGATTTATCGCAACCGACACTGTTGCGAAGATGTCTTGGCGGAAAAACACAAAACTCCAATGAATCATTAAATAATTTGATTTGGAAATTTTATCTTAAGACCTTTGGTTCAGGAAGAAAAATTGCTGAAATAACAACGAGTGAGACCACAATACTCTACAATGAAGGTAATCAGGGAAGATTAAAAGTTATGGCGGAGCTTGGGCTGTCAGATGGTTCGTGTAGTCGAGCATGTCTATGTAAATTAGACGAGCAACGAGTGAAAACTAGTGAATTATACCTTTTGCAAAGAACAAAAGAAATGCGTAAGAAAAAGAGAAATAAACAAAAGACTATTGCAGAGAAGTAAAAACAAATTCACCTGGTGCATTTTAAATATATACGCTTTACTTTTTTTTTTTTTTTTTGTTTTGTTTTTGTAAAACAGCTTATATTGTCCATTTTCACAACCTGTATTGTATAATTTTAGAGAATTTTAAGTAATTTTATACAAATAACACTCAGTATGAAAAATATTAATCTCCAAATGACTAGCCTGAATAAAAAGTGAATTTGTGTAAAAATTGTAAATTTTCTGGTCAGTGAGTTAAAGTTTTCATTTCGTATTTTCACGAGTTGTGTGAACTTATTTTGTTTTTAAATGCTTTTATGTGATTTTTCTCACTGCGCGCAGCATTTTCCTGAATCTAATCTAAAGTGCACAGAATTTTACATGGGTGTTTAAATACTAGATATGCTTAATATGACGAACCAAAATGTTTCTTATGTAATAACGTTTAAAATTGTATCTAATTTACGCCTAAACAATTTGATAAAAATTTAAATTTTGTTTTTAAAAAAAATATTTTTGTAGGAAAGGAACATTTAAATAAAATAAATCTTTGTCATTTTAAAGATACATTATTTTTCTACCATATGAAACAAAATTGGGTTCCCCTTATGCTTTACATAATTGCAATGCTGCGCGCAGTGAATTTCAAAAATATTAGCTATAAAAAGGGCTCTACATTAAAATATTTATTTAAAAGCTTTACTAATGCACATTACTTATTTAGTAATCTTAAACAAATAACTAAGGGTACTACTATATGTGTTAGAAATTTCATTTTTATGGGACTATTAGTTTTGGAGATACATCGCTTGTAATTTGAGTAATTTTTTGACATATTTTACCATTCAAAAGTTACCTGACCCCTTAAGTAATTTAACGTTATCTGATGTCGAGATGGCATTATATGACATTTCATGCTGAAACTGATTCCTTAGTAATTTATATCTTAGTTTCGATCCCATTTTAATGTTATCTGCGCTGCCACTAAAACTTGATTAATCTTAACTGGAGTAGGCAAAATAAATGTTTTTAACGACAGCGACGACAGTGGGTCTAGAGTAGAGCGATAAAACATTGCCGTTTTCCAGTCTTTTTTTTTTAACGTTTTGGTGGCGACATAGCTTTATTTACACTTCGAGATTATTTGTTAGTTATTAGTTGAAATACTGTGTACATTTTTTGTAAATATATATCACACAATTGTTGTATTATATCACACAATTCTCGAGGGATAAATGCTTAATGAAATAATAAAGACAATTTGGCGATAAACAATGAACTCATGTCCACACAGAAATAATACTTTATTGATGTCACTAACGATAGACAGGTAAGTGACGTTCAGCCAAACACGAGTTTCAAGATTAGCACTAAGAAACGACCACCTGCGGTTGTAGAGTCATTAGGATTTTTTTAGAGGCAGAAAAGATGAAAAATAGCAAACGCCTTCGCCGGGAATCGAACCACGGACCTCTGGAATACCGGCCCAGCGTGCAGAACCACTACACCACGAAGGACGCTAGGAAAGTGGGAGAAATACCTTATAAGGTGATGTCCATTAGAACATCCTGAATGCGATATTATTTTAACGATAATTGAAATTTGGTTTTTTGAAAGGTTCTGATGAAAACACATTTTATGTGTCTTGTTTTAATTCTAAATGAGCTCATGAGACCTGCAAAGTTGAACTAAAAACTGGAATCAAAACATTTGAACCGCAATAACAGGCCAATAGACAACTTAAATGTAAGATATAACTAATAGGTATCAAACAGACTGGGTTTTTAAACGTTTCTGAGGGGGGCTTCATTTGAAAAATCTAGTTACAGCTTCTCATGAAATATCGAAATTAATTTCTGAAACTGGATTTCCTTATAGTTAAAAGCAGAAAAAGTTATTAGTTCTTGCCATATAAATGTTGGCATCTTGTATATGTCATAAAAACAACAAAACCTGACAAATGTGTTGTCTTTCTTCAGTAAGACTGTGAAGCATGTAATCCAAGAAATAGCAGATAATATCGAAAAAACTGTTGTAATTCTGTTTAAACAGTGCAGTTTGATTTTCTCCTAAAGTCGGTGAAATTACATACATATAGGATAATGACTGTCTAAAGTGTTTTGTGAGATATGATTTTAAGAATACATTTAATGAAGAATTTCTATTTTGCAAACCGCTGAATACAAAAACAGCAGGAGAAGAAATTTTAATCTTAATTGATTATTTGAAGTGACATAAACTGGAGAAAATTTGTTGGACAGGGCTGAGAAACAATAGTAATCACGTAGTGGCTGGCATCCGTGCAGGGCGGTTCCCAAAAATAAAGGCCATGGCACTGAAAACTGTATGTTTGCATTGCAGCATACAAAGAAGCCCTTGAGGAAAAAAAAAAAAAACTGCTGCTGCATTTGCAAATTACTATGGAAAAGTGTGTAAATTAATACATTTTATAAAACAGTGTCCCTTAAATTGCAGGTCTGTGAGTACATTATTTAAACAGATGGATAGTGAATACTGTCATCCTTTTTCAATTTGCAAAGTACGACGATCATCCAGACGGAATGCTTTGAACAGAGTTATGGAAATAAGTATGTTTTCAAAATAAGTATGTAAGCACCCCCAACGGCTAAAGATGAACCATTTGAATTTAAAGAAGACAATTTTAATGATGTTAACTGGTTATATTAGCTTTGTGATATTTTTTATTTTCTTAAAAAAAATTAAACCTTTTATTACAAGGCAACAATGTACCTGTATTTAAACTGTGGGAAAACTGAAAGCTGAAATGAAACAGCTCAATTTGTGGACCCTTCGTGGTGAAGCAGTAATTATAATGCTTTTATGAAGCTAATTGAAGATCAAAAAGAATACAACGTTAATTCTATGCCTAACGAAATTTCAATTGCTATCACAGGGCATCTGATAGGATTGTAGACGAATCTGAAAGAATATTTTCCTATAATTTATAACTACAAAATCGCGGATACGAAAGGCCTTTCACAATTAATACAGAATCAGAACTGAACGGAATTACCGGATTTTGGAATCGGAATCAGAATGTTTGGATTCAGACACTGAATCAATAATTTAATTGTTTGGCTATGCAGCACTTAAAGACAGCTTTGGGAAAGTAACATAGATTTTTGGCTATCCTGTCATCGAGAGTTTCCATTTTTATACTATAAAGGAGTTAATTTTTAATGCCTTTTGTTACAACTTACAACTGTGAAACAAAATGAAATTTTGTTTAATTTACCATTAAGTCATAAGTATTTTTACACAGTCACGAAGAAAAGATATTAAAACAACCTCTTCGCAGGAAAAAAAGTTGTGAAAACCTTGATCTACAGAATATAATATACAGAAGGAAACCAAACATGAATCTTGATTTTTTGTGCAGCTTTGACTGCTTTATTGTGTTTTTAAAATCCTGTGCAATTTATACAACACCTTGCATACCCTTGTTACAACCACTTTAATGTTGCTGGCTGCCTCGTTTTGGGCAACTGTTCTATAAAAAAATCTTAAGTTATTTAGGCTATAGATTTGAAATGTTTGAAAACTCGAATACGTCGCATTAATTGTGTTAATATAGAAAAACATTTTACGATGTTTAACAGAAAATGCCATGTAAACATATTAAGAACTGCAAAGTTAAAAACCATTTAAATTACCCTCTGAAACTAAGTAATACCACAGGCCATAAAAAATAGTCACAACTTGAAACGTAATAAGTTCTTTGCGCTCATATAATTCAGATACTTAAAACGATGAATGAGTAATTTTCCGTAAATTATGCCAAATTTTGTAGTCGAATGGTAAGCCTTAATATATGTGACTTCCTTTGCAAATTAATACATCTAGTCAAAGGAATTGCTTAAAATTATCAAATTTTCCTTGGTAGTTTCCAAGATTCCTCTTGTATGTCGTAAGTTGCTATATCGGTAATAGTTTTATAAAATTGTGTTACACAATGTTTACAGGTATGTATTAAAAACAGATATTTACAATTATTTAACTTCTTTTGATTCTTAAAGATTAAGGATTATAAAAAGTATCTGCATATAAATTCATTTCCAGAAATTCACCCTCTTGCAGGTTTCAGAAACATATAGATTCAGGCCTGCTGGAAGTCATAGCACCACCTGAAGGATATTATCCTGATTTTAAAAACTTGCGGAATACATTAGGTGATCCAGTTGAAAGAGTCAGGTAAGTGTATAAATTCCATGACCTTTCTACGTCTAATTCCAGAATTTACTCATAGTGTGTTAGCGAAATATCATAAGGATGTTTACGAAATAGATAAACTGCGTAAAAAAAGAAATGGGACAGTTCTATATCTCTTCTACTGGGCAGATAAACAAAATTCAAACTGCGTTTTTCACGTCTTGAGAGCGCAACGTAAGATATGTATTAGATTTACATATAGCTTTGCTCTAATGTAGGTATTTTGACACCAAATCGGACTTTTTCTGAGATGGCATTCCAATTTTTCCATATTTCGATTCTATGGTTCAAATTATGGCAAACTGCCAAATTGTGTTCGAAGCGCACTGATAGTTTTCAAAAAAATTACCTCTTAAAATTTTAGATCCTCCATGGTTATTGAATTTGGTATATATTTATGAAAATCTCATTTTTTATTAAACTTATTATTTGAATCTTCCTTTCACATTTCGAAATTTAGGTTCATTCCAAAACAAATCACAAATTTTTTATGATTTATTTTTAAAATTTGCATTTTCAAGTAGTTATGGATTTTTCGAAAACATTTTGTATTATAACTCATAACATTTTTAGCATCGTCTTAAATTAGATGTATTTCTAAGCATACCTGTAAAAGCTTTGAGTATTTTAATCAAACGTTTCCTAAGATATACGTGAATTTACATATTGGCGCGTTTTGAAATGTGATATATAAGTGATAATAACGCCTAATGTTGTTTACGCACTTTGTTAAAATTATTTAAAAGTGTGAACGATGACTTTTTTCTGCTCGTGTACAATGAAAAAAAGGAAAGGCAAGTAGGTTGCTGTAAATTAAGAAATTTTACAAGTGAATTATTCTTGGCGCAAATTGGAAAAAAAAAAAAAGGTACCAAGATAAATTTTTAAATTTCTCCATAAATGTCTCACCAAAAATTACAAAATTTAATATATAAGCATTATTTGAGTCATAGAATGGAAATATGAAAAACAAAACTGGCATGTAATTTCAGAAAAAGTCCTATTTTGTGACAAAATACCTATATTAGAACAATGCTATATATAAATCTAATATATCGAGTCGCGCTTTCGAGACGCGCTTATAAGTCGCGCTTTCGAGACATGGAAAAACGCAATTTTAATTTCGTCGAACGGCCCAGTAGATTGGGAGATATAGAACTGTCCCTTTCTTTTGCGCGGTGTACATTCATTTAGTAAACTTCAGTTTTTCTTCAACTTTTATTAAATGATCAAACATTTCTCAAAACGTAAAATAAGTAACTGAATTGTATTAATTTTACTGAAGAGTATTTCTCATATTAGCTTTATTTTCGATTATCTCATGAAAAACTGAGAAATACAAAGTATTTTGCATTTAAAACTTTGCTTGAAAAATTATTTGAATTGTTGATTTGAGAAAAGTTCTGTCTGTTGCGTAAGCTAGGCAATCGCATTCTACTAGCTTTATCAAGTGCATCATTTGGAATTGCTAGAAGAAACCAAGTTACCATTCTAAGATTTTAAATAATATCGTCTCACATTTTGTTATTTGCTAATAGTTTTATTTTAATTCAATGACTTAAATTATATTAGACATCCATTAACAATAATAAATGCTGCTAATCGTGTAAGTACTACCTACAGATATTCACTTAACGTCTCAATCCAAATCAATTCGGGGAATACAAAACACATATTTAAGTACATATTTGTCGCATCAAGTTTTGGTTAGTTGAGTGATGAGTTTGTATTCTATAATCGGTATCACCTTAGTTTTTTTATTACACTACTAACGTTTGAATCAGAATCTGTAAAATATTTTTAAATGCATAAAATATTGAGCAATATATACTCATATTATTTTCTCCTTTTGCGATGTATATAATTATTCGATTTTTTATTTCATCTGAAAAGTTCACTCAAAACAGCAAATAAATGATAAAATTATTGATAACAAATAGCTTGCCTTTCACGACAGTATTTAAAAAACAAAATAACAAAGATAAATTGATATAAATACTTAACCTTAACTTATGCAGATGCACATATTTCATATCCTGACAGAAATAAACCTCGGATTCATTTTAAATAACAAGAAATACCATAAAACATTTAAATCATATACTGTATAAGGTGTTCAGTATCAGTAAAGCACAGTATTATACAGTATACAGTACAGTACAGTATTATACAGTATATAGTACAGTACAGTATTATACAGTATACAGTACAGTACAGTATTATACAGTATACAGTACAGTCAATACAGTATTATACAGTATATGATTTAGATTATATAATTAGATTTTATTTATGTGCCATAAACAGGAGAGGACATAAATGCCAATTGTTCGAATTCAACAAATGAACCTTAAGACGAAGGCATTGCAAAAGAAAGCAATATTAATGAAGCAACCGAATTGAAGAGATTTTGTGAAGGCAGGGATTTGATTACGTAAGTTGTCACATCATGCCTCAAACAAAGCAGATAACTTAACTTGTGACAGAAATTTGGTCACCCTGCACTCTGTTTTAAACCTGCGCCATCAAATTCTATTTCGTTGGATAACTGAAGAATAATTTCTGGAATAAATCTGTGAAATTTCAAATTAATTCAAGATTGCTTCGCAAAACTTTCCGAGGGATAACCAAGAAAGTTTTGACACTGATGTAAACAAGTGAATGGACAGACAGAAATGTGCCTCAAATAATTAAAAAGAATTAAAGAATTGTTATTTATTAACTATAACGTTAGAGGAAAAATATTACTTTCTGTCAAAAAATGGGAGATATTTTCGCAATCAAACTTATCTGTAGAATTAAACATTTCTGGCCAGGTGTAAAATAAAGGAAAAGTATTTTAATATAGTTTGCTGAGAAGTACACATATAAATTACAAGAGTCAAAGAGAGATTTAATTGCCATAGTGAAGCTCGCTTCCAGATATTAATAACAAAATTAAGAATTAAACACAAGTAATTAACCTCACATACTTACTTACCTTATGTAATCATTTACCATATAAGCCAATGCTTGATATTCTTATGTGATTATTTACCATATAAGCCAACATACCAGAAATTAAGATCCGTAGTGAAATCTTCCTTAGTAATTTCTATCCCTCAGTAAATAATTTCTCATTTTCTAATCCATTGCATCACCAAAGGGGATAGAAAGTTTTGACAAGCGTGAAAGCATACGTGTCTGAAAAACTTTTCCACTCTTTGACACCTACAGCGAGTTAATTAAATTGTAACAAATAGATCGATGAAAGAGAAGGCTATATAGAAATATAAACCGGATGCACGGGTTTTGATTAGGATGTAAGAGACGTGAAACTTCCTTCAGGCATTTTGTTGAGTTTCCTACATTTCACCTCTGTTCCGAAGGTAATTAATAATAAAAGCAATGCTTCATTAACATTCTTAATTAATTATCAGTTGACAAAAACGTGTCTGTTAGAGTGTTATACAACCATTGCTTTATACAGAAAATCACTTAACTCTTTATAATTATTATTTTTTATAAATGTTACTTTAAAACTACTACTAACTATTCTGAATATTTCTCTGACACTTGTGGCTGAGCTCTTTATCGAACTAATTATTTAAAGTTCCTAAAATTTATATCATAAATTAAAGAATAATAATACATAATTGTATTAAACATAAGTTGCAAATCATTTGATTTTTAAATTTAGCGAAATCCTTTCATTGATAAAAATGAAAATAGTTACTAATCTCCGGTAATCGTACCATGTATAATATCTTACAATTACATAAAAGTATCTTTGGTGTAAATAACACATTTTTATTCTGATAACTACAATTAAATACATGCCATCTCTACTTCAGGCACTTTTGAATAAATAGACTTAACAGCAGTATAATTTTCGCTAGAAAATTAACTCAAAATGCGATAGCAGATGATATTTGTGTTAGAATATTAATCATTTTCTAGCTAAAGAAAAAATGCAGTCGGTCTGCTTTATAATAATTTCAATCATGTATTTTGATTCTAACTAGAGCAATCATCTTGGTTCTTTACATAGTTTGACTATGCAATGACCGCGGAGGTGATTGTTGATTTATAGTTTACTATCCATGAGCTTCTTCGGTGTTTTGTCGAAGGATTTGCTCGTGGTGAAATTTATGGGCCCAATTCAGAAGTGCGATGGGAGAGACTCGCTTTTGAGGACAGAGCCTGCGTCCAAATCACGAGAGAGAAATACTTTACTCCTCACAAAAGAGCTCTTGCGTGGTGAATTTAAGTAATTCAAATTTTTCCAATTTGAAAGCGTTGGCTGGCTCCGCGGGCGCCATACACTGTTCCTCAGCTGCTGTCATACCAGGTGTGGCCAACCTTTATGGGAATGTCACTATCTGAAAAAGTAAAAAGGTATGCGTGCTATTTTCAACTTTTCTAGCGTACTTAAAAATTTTAAAAGGCAAATCTAATGTTATTTATGGGCTGATTATGGAATTTTAACGCAAATAGCGCATTTTTTATGTAAGTCTTAGTAGTGAACATTTAAAAAGTAATATAATAAGTAAAATAAACACACAAACTAGAGTTTTATTGTTAATAAACGCTTTTAAAGTTTCAGTAGTAATTTTAAAGTAAGGTTCTTTCTCACCTTCATGGGAAAAATTGACGAACTACATCACTCGCGTCACCCATGGTGCCTCGCTTCGCAAGTATTCATCGGGCCCAATAAACATAACTCAACTTAACAACAACATAACTCAACAACACAATAATCAAACATAACAACGCAATGGAAAAAAAAAATCAGGACAACAAAAGGTACACTGCGATAAAAAAAAATGGGGCAGTTCCTATATCTCCCGTTCTACTGGGTCAATTGACGAAATTCAAATTGCATTTTTCATGTCTTGAAAGCGAGACTTAGGCTATGTATAAGATTTATATATCTGAAATGACATGCCAATTTTGTTCTCGATATTTCGATTCTACGACTCAATTATGCCTAAATGTTAAATTCCATGAACTTTGGTGGGAAATGTTCGAAGGAATTCAAAAATTTATCTTGGAGTACATTTTTCAGTTTTAGTCAAGAATAATTTACTTGGCGAACTTCTTAATGTATAACAACCTATTTTCCTTTTCATTATTTTTATTGTAGACGAACAGGAAAAAACTCATCGTTCATACTTTCAAATAATTTTAACAAAGTGCGTATTCTAGTTTGGCTTTATTATCGCTCAAAAAAACGATGTCAGATTTCAAAGCTCTCCAATATGTAAATTCATGTATATCTTAGAAAATTATGAATAAGAAAGTTAAAAATAAATCATAAAAAATTATATTTGGATTAGGCCTAAATTTCGAATTCTGGAAGAACGACTCAAGTAAGTTTAATAAAAAAAAGATATATTAATAAATATATATATAAAATTCAACTAACATGGAGGAGCTAAAATTTTGAGAGACAATTTTTTAAAAACTACACGTGCGAGTTTTACAAAACATGGCAGAAAAAGTCCGGTTTTGTGCCAAAAGAACCTATATTAGAACAACGCTAGATTTAAATCTAATAGATATCCTAAGTCACGCTTTCGCGACATGAAAAACGCAATCTGAATTTCGTCAATCGGCCCAGTAGAACGGAAGATATAAGAATTGTCCCTTTTTTACTTCGCTGTGTACCTCCTCGTAAGAGATGGAGGGGAAGGGTGTATTGCGCTGCGCAACCAACCAACGCTCGCAAATTTGAAATAGTTGAATTACTCGAATTCGAATCTCGAAGACCTCTTTTGTGATGAGATAAAGTATCTCGCTTCCATGACTTGGACCCAGATTCTGTCTTTAAAAGGGCCAACGCGAGTTTTTCACTTTGGCCTTCCCATGGATTAATAGCGAATTCTGATTCGACCCATAATTGTCCCCACGAGCAAACCTCTTTTAAAACATCCAAAGAGCCCAGAGGCAGCATACTATAAATCAACAACAATTAAACAGCCGCCTCAACTTTTAAAAGCAGCTTAGAGATATGAACAGTACTTTTCAAAGGAGAGTGGTACCTCGATATAAGTCATTAATACTTTGCAGATCTTTGGATATAGATACTATACGAACTATTCCAATAAGAAGTAGAGAAAAAATAATTAATGTCTTCTTATAAAAAATCTTGTTGTTATGAATACAATTACATTGATTAATACTAAAATACAAATGCAGGGATTCAAATATATACTGTACATAAATAAAATACTGTACAAGATGCTGTATATAAATTTTTTTCTGCTATCCAGATCAAAAGCAATTTTTCAACATGCTCAATGTTTGCAACGTTAGCGATTTAATGGCATCTTTGCTTTGCACAGTCGTAGACGCCATGGTACTCGGCATACAGCATGCTATAAATCAAGTTTTGGATACACATGCTGCCTTCATACGTTTAAAAAATCTCTTTTTGTTCTTCGCCATTCTAACATTTTTCATCGTTTCTTAATTCTTCTCATTAATTTCCCTAAAACTCATTTCTAATGAATTTTTAAAAAATAAATGTGAAAAAAAAAACCCTTTTCAAATTCAAAGCTGGTTACTGGTTACAGGAGGCGTACTGAAACTAATGCGCAGTAGTAGCATTGTCTCGAAAGAGGTAAAAATTGCAGTGCGCGTAGTCGTTACTCACCAAACCCGAGTCGTTTTCCAAACAAATATCGTGACTATCAAAACAAAACTTTTCGGGTCCAAACAGGACATATACCAAATTGGGCATATTTAAAATACTGAGGTATGATTGTAATTCGAACAGTTGATGAATTTATTTTTATTTGTAAAAACATTACTAGAATTTCCAATGCTTTTGATTAGCTTAAAAATTTAATGAGCATAAAGAAAGAAGGATTTCAAGAAAGCTAAATATAAATATAATGTATATGTTCCGCTGTAAAATTCCACAGTGATTTAATTGTATTGAATGAAAGTATTAAAAAATTGTACGCATGCTTTTTTTAAATGCAGGTGGCGCACAAAGCAGAATTTGGACTACGCATATTTGATGATGTATGCCCAGGCAAAAGGGACGTTTTATGTGCAGGTAACGTTTAATAAATTGTAATTTCTGGCTTAGTGAATTTAACTTATATATTTGGTAATGTTTACTAAAGTTAAATGGCGTTAATCTTTGGGAAAGCTGTTAATTTCACATAGTTTCTGAAAGGTAAATATTATAATGACATGATTAAAGTTTTTAATTCCAGTTAAATTTACTTACATAGTTGGTTGCTATTGAAGAAAAAAGAGTAAAAACTTTCTTTAATCTACAAAAGAGTTTAAAATGTTTCCTGTATTTACTGAATTTCCGTGCGTATCCCGTAACATTTTTGCGTTCAGATTCTTTACATTTTAGAAATACTCCCGTAATCAACGTGAGATAACGGACTGTTGAACTTTATTCTATCCAAGTACAAAGACACTCGATCCCAGCGAAGCAAACACGAACTAAGTCGCTGATCTAGCTGCACATTTATCTTCTAATTATTTATAGATGGTGGAGGTCTAAGGAGTAGTAGAGACAAAAACAAGAACCCGTAAGCTACAGGGAAACAGAAATGAAGATATGTTATTAGACACTGCAATGTTAATATTAATATGTATTTATATGATACCGTGGGCTCCGGGGTACTTGTGCATCTTGGCCTGGACAAGTGGTCAGCCTGTCGCAGGACCCCCGGTACCAACTTCTAGCATTAGGAATATTTTACACCAGAAGTAATGCCATCAATGACAATATTATATAATGGTAACATTTCAGTATAGCAATGATATTTCTTTAGGCTGATAGATTACACTTCAGGGAAATATAAAATTAAAAATGAAACTAACGTTATTTCATATTAAAATGTGCTTAAGAAATTGTTTATGTAGCTAATATTTCATCCTTTAGACGGTTAATAAAAAGATTTAATAATACTCAACTAATATCTATATTTTTGCAGATGCAATGTTTAAATTTTTATTTTACGTTTATTGCATTATTAGCATTATGCTATTTTACAACACTTAAATCATATTTGCTGTTAAATATGCAGTGTTTGGGTAAGAAATGAGGAAAACGAACGACTCATGCATTCTAACTTGATACAATTATTACATTGGGTATCAGCGTATAACATGAACTTTCTGGGATAAACCCAAGTATATGCGACCGATTTTTGAAATTAGCGTTGCTAAGGAAATGCCAGCAACCAAGAAATGTTTGGGAATAGAAAAATATGAAAACACTCATCAAGTGATAAGGCAACAAGAAACTAGTCCTGCACATTTCGAAACTAGTCCTGCACATTCATGAATAAACAACAGTTTTATTCATGAATGTGCAGGACTAGTTTCGAAACAAAAAGTACTAGCAATTTACAGAAATTGGGACGTTTTTAATTCTATCAGCCAGTACTTAAAGATCAGTACTTAAAGATCAGTATCAGTACTTAAAGATCTCACTTTGGATGTGATTTACTGGGGTACATATAAGATTCCTTGCCAGTGTGCCTTAATTACATTGATCAAACTAAGAGCGCTTTAAAATTTCGCGCTAAGCAACACGAGACATAAACACGTAACTCCACTCTTGCCGAAACATGTGGGTGAAAAATATTTTTCATTTTCCTGCAGCCAGAATTGTTCAAAAAAGCATTTTCCATTAGAGAATTACATTTTAAGCGGCATTTCATATTTATAAAAAATCTTTCAATTTTTGTTAACGATCACAGTTCCACTCTGTCTTTACCTTTACCTTTTAAGGAAATTATTTCATAAGTTTTCAGTTTTTTTATCAGTATCTTTACTTTTCCCTCTCATTATTATAACCTGAGAAAAGGTTTCACTTTCTTCATGTGCACTCCTACAGCAAATTAAGAAGATTCTATAGTTACATCTTCGAAACTAGTCCTGGAAATCTTCTTGCCTTAACATCTGCAGTAATCGTTATTCCGCAAGTTATAATAACTGTAAGACTCTTTTTTATGGAGCTGATCAATTCGTTCCCAGCTAAATGCCTTTAATAGCTCTCCTTACTTATTGCGTCAGTCAGCTATTCCCCCTTGCATTTCACAAAGTTATTTATGAACGTCTGCATGTTTCCAAAATCCTTACACTCAAACTCCTTAACAAACGAAATAAGTCTAAACAAACAACTCCTTAACAAACGAACTATGACAAACTGAATAGAAACATTGAACATTTGTAGTTCGATCCATGTTCAGATCTCGATGTACTGTGTAGCTGCATTAATGTTTTCATGGTTTCCATGTCTGTAATATGCATACGTGCCATTTTCTCTTAGAAGGTCCTCCATGAAATATTCTTCTCTTAAGCAGATAGCCCTCATATGCTTTGTCTTAATGTATTAACCTAATTTATCTTAACTTAAACTGCATTTAAGAAATGGGTAACAGACTACATTTCATGGATGCGATGCACTATATTGTCTTTAGGATTGTAAACACAAATTTGTATACAGGTTATATTCTCTTAATATGTCCCCCACAGATATATCCTTCCACTTAAGCAGACAGCTGCCATGTGTTTTGTCTCAATAAGTTAAACTAACTAACGTAAATTGAACTGCATTTAAGAAAATGATAGTAGATTGCATTTCGTGACTGTGAGCCGTTCTTTTGTATCCGGGACCGTAACACACAGAAACGTGCATGAACATCATTTGATTTCTCAAAATATATGCCTTTAGAATAGTTTAATAAATTTACTTTGCATGCGCAAAACGGAGATGTAATACAATTCGTTGACAGAATTTTTTTCGGATATAGTATATGGATAGGTGTATAATTATTACGGACCTATTTAGTATAATGACTTTCACTGGATTATAATAGATGTGGTTTTGAATGTAATACAATAAACCACGCCTTTTAAAATGTGTGTAGATTTATTTTAGTTAATATGTTCTGCTTTATTGAAATCTTTCCTGACTTCGTATATTAAGTAATGTACTCGTGAAAATCAGCAAACCAGATGCCAGAGTATAATTTAACCTATGTATTATACATAACATAAAGCAATTATGTTATTATACTGCTTATTCATGTTTCTGACACTGCAGAAAAAGCCTGGACGAAAATTGATATATGAGGCTTGAAGATTAAAACAGATTTAGTTTAAAGAAAATTGAGCTGCACCTCTCATGTATATTTGTCCAAATATCACTTTAAATTGCAGTACTGTCTGAATGAAAATGACAAACATATGTTCAAAAAAAGATATTTTATATTTTTAGGCAAGTAAAGTATGTTGTATAGTATCATTCCTTTATTTCTAAGTCATTAAACATTAAGTATTCTATATCGAGTAAGACATAACGTACAGAGAGCAATTTAACTTAAATCTGGTAAAAGAAGAACGTTTGTTGAACGTTTTGATAAAGATTAAATTGAAGTGACATAAATTACAGCTAATTATCTCTTTGTATATTATAAAAACCAAATTTTTAATTTTAGAAGCAATAAACATATTATGCATCAAACGAATCAGTACAGGACAGAAATTTATTACAGTACAGAACAGTATTATGTTACTTCATTTCCTAAAGTTCATAAAAATTAAAATTTCATATCTCTATGCATTATATCAGAATGGCATGAGAAACTGAAATGCGATAAATCCAATCTAATGCTTTCGTATAAAATCGAGAAAATAATTCAGATCAAGGAATTTAGCGACAAATTTGTTGGGGAATTATTAAAGCCTCCAAATAACCACAAACTTGCTATATTAACTTTCAGAATGACCGCAATATATTAATATCAGTATGTATAGTTTCATTATTTCATGAACATCAAATTGCAGTCAGATTGGGATGCAAACCTGAGACGTTCTTGATTTTAAAGCTAAGGCCCAAGCTAGTGGCTGTGTCTAGAGTAAAACAAATTAATTGGAAGGGAAGATCGAAAAAAGGAAAAAAAGCAGTTTGCTATTAAATAAAATCCTCAAGAGGCCGAAGGAATTTTTAGACACTATATCGAGTAATTTGAAATACTTTAAATATCCTTTTTTAAATGAAGAAGCGTGTAATCTTAACCAGCAGTGTAATTCTGTATAACTAGTTCTGTAATTTTTGTAAAAAGAAAAATATTCTCGAAAAGCAGCAGAGTGGAAAATTGATAATGATCTGGGAAGCCATAAGCTAAACAATAATTGATAGTTAAAGCTTTTGATGGGAAAAATAAACAGTGAAATATAGCTCTTCCTGAAAAAAGACGTTTTTATAGGCGAGATTTGGATGGAAATCAATGGATTTTCCAGCATTTTCATCTTGATATATTGTCATGCGCCCTTAAAAAGTAATATAAGATAGTTAATACTCTTTTAATGACCGAATTTATTACAGGATTATAATCTGACAGAAACTGTATGGAAAAATTTAGATTGAATTATTTATTATAATGAATATAGGTCTAGCAAAACCGAGTATTTAAACCTGCTACCATTACTACCGGGAAGATACTTACAACACATGACAAAATTTGATTATGCTAATTTGAAGTACGCAGATGATTCAAATGAAAATATTGAAACGGGCAATAAAATCAAAAACCTTTGATCGATCGATGTGCAAGTTTGTAGGCATTATCCTTGTGATTGTAAGAATAATCAATAATAGTAGTGCAACATTGCAGAAGTAAGTAGCATCAGTACCAAGATCACTGCCTCATTGCTGATATGCACTACGCCAGTGTAGCGATCTGTGAAGCATTATTTGATTTATGAAGGTATTAAATCGGTTGAAATTCATTGCTGAATGAAAGCGCAATACGTGATTCGTATGGGGTTTTGCAGAAAATTCACAAGCACAGACTTTCTGTTCTTTCACACAAGTGGTGTTGAAGTTAAAATCGCGTTTCTTCTATGAAGGAAGTCTCACGCCCGTCCACGGACATGACGGAGTGACAAATGGAAATATCCCCGTAGTGGAAGAAGAGTTTGTGAAGGAGAAGAGCTGTATTACTGGGAAGGAAAAAATCACTCTGTTAGATATTAGTGTCAGTTCAACATTGATATTTTGATGAACAGCTGCGATTCAAT